AAATGTCCAGGTGCAGTAAGATAGCTTCCCTGCAAAGCAGGTTTAGGGTTGTCATAAAATGACAAGAGAAGGCAGGGTTGCCACTTTTGGCGAGAATTCGCCCATTTGGCGACAAAATTGGCGATATGCCACGGACGGATGGAGAACCTTCTGGAACGAATTCTTACCGGTTTAGCCCAGAATGTTCTCGAACACAGGCCAAAAACTATATAACCCTGCTGGTACGCGGAAAGTCAGTGTGAGATAGTTAGTCTCGAGTTAGTTAGTCCGTGCGGAGTCGATCGAGTTGACAGCCGGGCAGCGAGTGCAGAGTGGGTCGTCGAGTGCATCGAAAGAGTCTCTTAGTGTATCGCGGTTAGTGCATCGTCGAGAGAGTGAGTTGAACTCCGGGAGAGACAGAACCGAAGAGTCGGGAGCTGTGCTCTGTGTGTCGTGGAGTGTATCGCGAGTTGTAGCGTGGAGAGTCTCGAGAGTACGTGGAGTTCCGAGAAGAGTCGGCAGCTGTACTCTGGTGCTTTGCAGTGAAGCTGTCTCCACCTTTATAGCCTGATAATCTGAAGGCTGCGTTGTTGATTGTTGATTGTTCCAGCGTGTTTATAGTAGATCTTCGACGACTGTAAAAGTGTTTTCGAGCTGTCCTTATTAATATTGCCTAAATAAAGTGTGTTTCGATACTTCATCAAGTGCTGTTGTCATTATTCGCTCCAAATCCGCACGAACACCGTAACGAACGTACCAAAGGAAGAAAAATTACGTAACAATACTAACAGAATGTGCGACACGGAATAACAAGGATTAAATGGGAGAATGATAGCTGAAGAATTACACACTAATCGAGAAATACTTAAGGACTAATTTCAAGTAAAGGAATGAACACGGAAAAGGGCTTTATCTAGACATCTCACTTACCCTCACAATGCTCTCCTTGTATGAGAGTCATTGGCCAAAATGTGGTTAACCAACAAGACATACTACCTATTCAATTGATTCAACTCTGTGTGATTTCTGGTTATTTCTCCAAACTAAAATCTGCGCTAAGAGGTTAAGTATTTCTAATATAAGAGTGTTAACAAAATGCTTGAAAATTAAGGAACATAGAGACGGAACAGGACAGAGGGATACCAGTCTGTTTGTTAATTTTAAAATGTTGCAACCTTCCTCGAAAAGAAGTGAAACTACTATTATTTGTTCGTTTGGATGTGTGACATTGATTTTTATTTAGTTTTTAGGCCTTTAATATTATAAAATCACGATCATTTAGTTTTTATAAATCAGCTGCAAATGAGTAAGGTTAACTCCATTTTATTTTTTTATTTTTATCATGTTTTGTAATTGTAAAAACCTCTAACTTAGAGCATAGATCTGTGGCAGAAGGAAATGAAGGAACGGATTATCACAACAAATCAGTCCTATAATAAAATTTACTGCAAATTAAAATATGACAATGACAATGATTAAAATGGGGATTGATTAAAATCTAAATGCGGACATCCCACTTTTTTTTGGGTGCGGTACTTTGTTTTAGACGGTGAGACATTACATTAGAATAGCAAACAGACTGAAGGTAGCAGTAGACCAGGGTTTCTTAAATTGTGGGTCCTGCAGCAGAGGATCGCCAAAAAGTTTAGCAGTTTTGTTATTTCTTTAACTTATTATAATAATTTTACAATTACCAAATATTTTTACACAATGTATCTGAAAATAGATAAAGATAAGACAATACAGACGAAGGAAAAAACGAAACCGTTTCGATGCCTTCTTTATGTAATACAAACATTCATTTTCCTTGCTTTGCACGTGACGCTTTCATTTCGTGTGTTATTTATTTAAAACTTTCACATTGTTCTATGTCTTAAAATTAGAAATTAAAGTTAATGATCTAAAAACTGCAATAGTATATTACAGTATAAGTGAAAAAATTGACAGTTTCGCTCCGTCGTGTGTCGGATTTACGCAATACTTATGGGGTCCCTCAAAATTTTTGTAAATATTATGGGGTTCTAGGGGTCGCAAAAAAAAAAATCTCAGTGATAAAAAGGGGCCGCTATTGAAAGTTTAAGAAACCCTGCAGTAGACAATTGAAGATATGATTAATGTTGCACAAGTAATTTTGGCCGGTCTGATGGATTAATAAGTACTTCAAATCAGTTTAATATAACTCAGTAATTTTAGAAATAGAAATAAGAAAGAAAAGAAAATTCTCGGTTAAAAATAATAAGTATTAAAACAAGAGGGAAGTACTTTAAAAATCCCCAATGCGGAGCAGAATGCGCAAACGGCATGGCATTTTTAAAATTTGATTAAAATCTCATTTAAATAATATTTTGCTTTTTTTTATCACTGAAAATTGTTCACTGAAGAATAAATTTTCCATTGGTATTGCATTTATTTCTTTACTTGCACTAATTTCTGACCTATGATTAGTTTTAAATTTCATCTCTTGTTCTTTTTTGTCTTACCTTACTCGGAAACGCCCACCAGTGGCTGAACGGTAAAGTCGCTGGATACTGGCAGTTCGATCCGATTTAAGAGTCTTGCGAAAGGGCTGGCTGCATGGGCGTTTTTGTGGTTTTCCCCATGTGTAACGTGTACACGAGGCAGTTTCCTTTAAAAAGTGCTCCAGGAAGGCATCCTTCTCCTTAGGCAGATAGCCCTCGAGGCTTTGTCGTAATCAAACAAACTAAACCAAAACTTACTCGGCAACAGTCCGGAAAAGGAGTTCCGAATCTGCCTCCAGGTACTATTCCATTTGCAACGATCTACTGTTTAAAGTGACTATATTCGAAGCACAAATGGACTATTCTGAATGTAGAGAATTCTTTAATGTATAATTCATTAAAGCGCATTAAAGAGCTATTAAATTTTGACACTTTTTAATTATTCCTTATAAATCATAATTATAGAAGGACCGGAAAGAAATGTCGTTGCTGCACATGTCGACAACAACATGCTAAGGGCAGAAGTAGAAGCAAATCCATGTCAAACACTCTTAACCAACCTTGGTCGACCATCTAAGAACATTTAAAGCAGAATGGAAAAATAAGCAAAGCAGATGTTTGAGTCCCCCATAATCTGTTCGAAAAGAACAAAGCCAACCGATCCATCACATACAGAACAACGTATTGCTTCAACTGCACCATACAGAACCATTTTTTGATCGTTTGGTTCCTGGAGACGAAAAATGGGTCCTATATGATAATCCAAAACGCAAAAGGCAGTTTTAATAGGGGTTACAAAGGGTTTACATCCCAAAAAGTCGCTTCTGTGTGTTTGGTGGAGTATTCGCGGAATTGTTCATTTTGAATTGTTGAAACCTGGACAAACTGTTAATGCAGATCTTTATTGTAAACAATTGGATAGAATGAACCAATCTTTAATCAAAAAACATCCGGCGATTGCCAATAGAAAAGGCATGATTCTGCAACACGACAATGCAAGACCGCACTGTGCAAGACGGACACTGGAAAAAATGAATGAATTGGGACCGGAGGTGCTGCATCACCCACCATACTCGCCCGATATCGTACACTCGGATTTCTATTTATTCCGATCCTACAACATTTTCTTAGTGCCAAAAAATTTGAAAATTTGAATGATGTCCAAAATGCCATCTTGAGATATTTTACTCAAAAACCAATTGATTTATATCGGTCTGGAGATTGAAAATCTACACACTAGATGGCAAAAGGTTGTTGATAACGAGGGTGATTACATTATAGATTAAAAATAAAAACGTATTAAAAATTTATTCGTGTGAATTTAATGTAAGAAAGCGACATTACTTTCCGGTCCCCCTATTATTTTACGTTACTATGTGTTTAAATGTTAAACAAACTAAATTTCTATGAATGAACGAATAGTTACCGGGACTTATATAAAACTGCTTCTAAATACTTTTTTCTAACTAGGTAAATATTCCATTTTTCTTTCCGTTTTAGTGTAATACCTATTTCACACGGTCCTCATTACCAGTGTTACAACGAAGGAGCACAGCATCAAAGACTGAAACGTTCTAAGACTTTCAGGTAGTATTCTATTTGAAAGACGACTAACTCCATGCACGCGTGAGTGATTTGAGAAGACGCAGTTGAGGGATTCAGAAGGCGTGGTTTATAGGTACAAGTCTGCTAATGACTTTACATGAAAAACAAAGCTTTCTCCATTGTGTCCTGCTTCTTCCGCGATATAGGCATTGTTTGGGGGATGTAAATGTTGGGTGCATTGCGTTATGCGGAAGTCAACAAAAAGTGTTACATGGTTTCGTGATGATGGACTGGTAGCTTAGTGGAACTAAAGGCCTATTTATGGGACGGGATCTTGTTCACGTTACAAGATTTTAAAACTTTTCGGCAATACGGAACATGGATGACTTCTAATTTTTGCTCCCAAATTCGTGACGTTAGAAAAGAATCAATGAACTTAATGAATGACTGAACTTGGATCACTTTGGAAAAGATTTATAGTTATTTGAGTTTTTCGTTTCAATAAGTTCTAGTAAGATTGTCTGTCGTATCTCGAATTATGAAGAGCTCATAAAATAACGCAATTATACATCAGTTTTTCTGTTTATTTTTGGTTTCTCAACTTATTCCAGTGACATTATTCGTCATATTTCAAAACATAATAAACAAAAAATGAAGATAAAAACGGCCGAAAATTAACACAGCATTTTGTTATCTTGGTGCATTTTACACCTAAATCATTAAATGCTCCAAAACGTTCAATATTGGTCTGTAAAAATATAACCTGTAGTCTATAACATTGTTTGCGTGCTAAAAACAACTTGAAATTAAATATGCATGATATTACACTATGAAATATAACTTACGGATTTTTATTCATCGTTTTTCGACGGCTTTTTCACATGTTTTGATGATGACTTCTTTAGTTTTTTAACCATTGGCAAAAATATAACCTGTAGTCTATAAAACACAAACTGCGCGCTAAAAAAGAGCTTGAAATTAAATATATATGATATTACACTATAAAATATAACTTACAGATTTTTGTTCATCGTTTTTCGACGACTTTTTTGCATGTTTCGATGATGAATTCTTCAGTTTTTTAACCATTCGTAAGGTTTTCCTCACTGGTTTTGTTCCATTTTCAGCCGCGGACACTATTACAACTGAAAGTAAAAAAATTAAAAGTTTACGCTCTGGAAAGGTCTACATTAAACCACTTCATAATTTAAGCTCTACTTGAAACTCAAATAAAAATGGATTAGCATTATTTTGAAATCAAAATTAACACTTTAAAATCAAACGAAAATGGACAAAATTAATTTTTAGACGTGTTTATTCCATTAATATTCTGCTGGTGCAACGATTTTTGGAAGAGGCAGAACTCTTCTTTTGCCTCTTCCAAAAATGACGTGTTATTCATTTTTGGAAAAGGATTTTCCTTTTCCAAAATTTTTAGACGTATTTATTCCATTAATATTCTGCTGGTGCAAGATTTTTGGAAGAGGCAAAACTTTTTATATGAATACACTTTATACAGACAGAGAAGAAAGGTAAAACAGCTCTCATTTTTACTTCAATCGTACACTGACGAAAAAATAAATAAATAAATAAATAAAAAAATGAGTAATTAAGGGTAGCATGTCAAGTTCTTTTCACTTTCATATCGTGAACCTGAAATAAACACCTTATGAACATCTTTTTAATTGTAGTATTAGGATTTCCTTTAGATACAGATATCTAGAACAGAATGCTAACAAATATCCAGAAACTCCCCCATTCAAATAGCAATTTGAGATATCATCTCAACTTTTCAAGATATAGATATTATTTAGAAACCGTATCTAATTAACACGCGTTAGTAATTCATATCTACATGCATGAATGATGCAGATAGATCTGAACATGAATTTCGAAGTCTAAACAGCTCTCTGAGTTAAAAGAGTTGGTTTATCTTTTAGAAAAATTAGCTTCGAATAAAAAATGGTCATTAAGCTCGTTACTATTACCAACGTGTTCGAATAAAAGATGGTCTTTGAGCTCACATGCTATATGATCTTAATATGTTCAGATTTATTTCGGAATTCATGGAAATTGATCTTTAAACTTTTGAGACATCCTGAGAACTTCTGTTAAGTTTCGAAAAAAAATGGATAAGATGAATATTGGGTAAAGCTTAAATGGTTGGATAAATAATTCGGCTCAAACAATAGATATTGGTAATTAATATACAGTTTCCTGAGTGGATCAGTTCAGCTAATAGGAAGCTCAAAGATTACTTTGAGAGAAATTTTATTTCCACTCTTATGTTAATAATCTGGTCATTGTTTCAGAATAACTAAATCTGTAAATGATGTTATATTTACGTATGCGGTTGGCAACAAAATAAACATAATTCACATGTAACTTGACTAACTAATTATAGGAAATAAATTAGTGATGTTATGAAGAATTTACAAAAAGAATATACTCGTGTATTAAAACACTTAACTACTATTTCTCTCTATTAGAAACTTGGCTTTAGTTTAAATAGGACGTCTAGGAGAACTTGAGAAGAAGGTACCATAGTGTTATCTATCATATATTAAAAGTTTCCTTACCAGTTTTAGACAGAAAAGATTTCTGTTGCGTCATTTCAAGTGAATACATCGTTCAGATTTGACCTTCATAAATAAAACAAATATACTATTTACTGCGAAACGTACAGAATACAATACTGAAGACGGTTTCAAATCGGGAAATAAGCATTATATAAAAAAAAGATTGTTACATCCTATAGCTATTTAAGCTGCAAAGAAATTCCTGTATGCAATCTTTTTCTAAAATTAAAGATAATTTAGGGAAGATATTTTTTTGTTCGAAAGCAGTACTTGAACGAAGCGGAATTGGAAAAAAAAGGCTGTGCTAAGAATGTCAACAGAAAATTTTCTCAGCAAAACTGACTAATGGGATAACATAACTTTTGATGTTAATTTTTTCAAGCACCTTAAAAATGTTTGAGAAATTTTATAGAATAATAAAATAAAAAAAAAAAAAATCTTAAATTTTTCAGATTTTAAATTACGTCCAAAGGGGCGTTTTATAACGTTTTGTGTGTTACCTTTATTTATTAAATATCATGTTCTTTGCACTTAAAACATAAAATTCAGTTCAATAGCAATGTCGCAAAATAATTTAAAAATGAGCCTATCTTTAGAATTTCGGATACATAGTTCCGCGCGCTGGAGACAAAAAGGTTTCCTCCCCCCCCCCGTAGATTGTTGCCATTGCTTGCTTTGAAATCTTTGAGTTTGTTACACAAAAACTCGTTAAAGTTTTAGAAAATGTGAAATCGATAATAAAACAAATTCCAAATTTCAAATTTGGTCTTCCATATTCCCATATTCGCAGGAGGATTACGTCATTCAAAATTTGATGGCTCTATGTACCGTTGTTTTATCACAGTGTGAGAAATATACAAACATTTATGCAGATTGTTCATTATTTAATTTCTTCAAATATAATGCAGGACTCTAACATTTGGTGGCATCAGTTTGAAAATTGAAACGGACATCATTAGTTCCTGAATACACTTACGAGAGATCTACACTTCTGCCTCTCTCCTTTTAAGTGTGCCTAAAGAGGGAAGATGTAAAGAATTAAAAGCATTCCTCCATGTGCTTTTGTGCTGTATTAATCAGCATAATAATTTTTATGGTCTAAAGATAAGGATATGATTATGGGCAAAGAGCATACGATACTTTCAAGAAATCCTGATTCTGAAAACTTTTATATCTCTACAAACCTTGCTTTGTACTCTGCTTATAAATAACCAGCTGCTGGAGTTATATATAAATTGCTAGTAAATGCTGTTTTCTACACTAATTTCTTGAGCAACAACTTTTTGAAATTTTAAAAGCTTATTTTGCTCTGACCTGAAATCTCAAATATATACCTTGCACATACACACACACACACAAAAAAAAAAAAGAGGAGAGTTCTATATCTCCAATTCGACTGGGCCGATTGACGAAATTTAGCTTGTATTTTATATGTCTCAAAAGCGCGGCATAGGATTATATTTAATTTATATACAGAATTGTTCTAACGAAGGTATTCTGACTCATATTATGTCAAAATGCCATGTTTTATAAAAAATCACACGTATAATGTTTTAAAAATTAGCTCTGAAAATTTTAGCTGCTCGATGTTTACTGAATTTGGTATATATTTTATTAATATCTTTTTTTTTATTAAACTCAAATAATTCAGTCTTTCACAGATCGAATTCTAGGTTCAATCCCAATAAAATTCGCAGTTATTTTGTTTGTTTTTTAAAATTTGTATCTTTTAATAATTTTGATAAATTTTTCGAGAAATTCTTGTATTCTCAAACCTATAAAAGTTTTGCCATCATCTTTATGTAGATGTATTTCTAAGCATACCTGCAGAAATTAGAGTCTTTCATTCGAGATTGCCAAAGATATGCGTAAATTTATATACTGGCATGTTTTGAAATTTGGCATATTTGTTATAAGCGATAATAACGCCAAATGTGGTTTACTAACTTTCGTAAAATTATTTGAAAATATGAACAATGTTTCTGTTCGTGCACAGTGAAAAAAAAGGGAAAAAAATAGCTTGCCATAAATTAAGAATTTCGTCAAGTGAATTAATTATTCTTCCTGCAAATTGAAAAAAGTGCGCCAAGATAAGTTTTTGAATTTTTCGACAAGTTTCTTACCAAATTTTACAAAATGTAATATTTAGGCTTGAGTCGTGTAAAAATGTAAGGCCTTTTTATTCAATTTCTTTCTTCTTATTTGAAGTTATTTCGTAATTCATGCACAGATATCTATCATATTTATAAGACTGACACAATGATGATGTTTAAAATGAAGGTAGACTCATAATATTCGGTAACAGCATACTTCAGAAAATTTTAAAACTAAGAATTATGTGTACTAAACAGAATCAAATAATTAATTATGATTCTATCACACACTTTTATTATACTAATTATAAATTGTCTACCATACATTTTTTAAATGTGAACAACGAGGCAAAAATTTTTATTACGCATTTCCATTATTAATGCTAATGATCTGCACAAAACGTTCTTCTAAGTCAGCAGAAATTGTTCGCTTAATCCTTTTTATTGCTTATAAATTTTTCAAGAGATAACTGTTTGTGATTTCATCACTGCATTATATTGCGAAAAAGAAAATTTGCGCATTTTGTTATCCGTTTTGCAATTTTCCGTGCACTGCCCCTCCAAGACTCTGTGATGCTAGTAATTTGGAGATTATTAAAAGTTCATGCGTTTATGGAAGAAATTTACGATTTTTGGTGCAGTGAATACCATTGCTAAGATTCTGAATAACGCTGAAAGCTTAACTCAACCTAAATCATTGCTGGAGAAACTGATTCCTGATAGTGCATATATTTCATCGATAAAGAAGTAATAACATAAGATCTCGCTGAAATTATTTTTAGAGCTCAAGGTTTTAAAAATATAAATGCTGAAAATACAGCATTCGTGATCAAAGACAAGAGGTGTGAAAGTAACAGAATTTAATCAGATGCGAAAGATATTACTGATGCAGAGTGATTCAAGAACAGAAAATAGGAGCTATAAAAGGTATAATGAACACATAGGTGAAACAACTAAGGTAATTACACAACACTAGAATGTGTAGACTTTTAGGTTATATACATGAAATTCCTATTTAACGATATCCTACATTTCAGCAGCGCATAGTGTATCGTCTGGAAGAATATCAACACTTGAAAAAAAGAAAACAAACGTTATTCAGATGGAAAAATCTGTGCAAATTTCAATATATTGTTTAGTTAAACCTTATTTTAAATACAGTACTGTATGCCTTTCATTTAAATCTTCCCGAAAGGATAATTTTTTTATATCATTACATTAATTACAATTTTACAAGCCACATTTTGGATTGCTTCAGTTTTCCGATTATTCTGCGTACATTAATTAGCACTGATACTTAGGAGTTCGAGGTATTCTGAACAAATTAAGGACAGTGTTATTTTACCGAATCTCTATAAAGCAAGGAACTTTGTCATAAATCTTAAAAGCTAATTTTACGGAAAATAATTATACATATTCATGGATACGTTCATTTTAATGAGCAAGTTTGTACTGCGTAACGTATTTTGCTTTTGGTTTCCTTTCTGAAATATACCGCATTTGAACCATAACAGAGATATCTTTGAATAAATTTGATGTTTAGCTGAACAATCTAGAATTAATAGGCTTTCTACCTGCCTTCATATATTGCATATTATTTTGAAAAGTAATTTGTTGTTACTAACTTCTGTCCACAAAATATACAATCATGAACAACTCAAAGTAAAGAACCATAAGAAAATAATAGGAAAAAATATCGTAATCTTATCCTTTAGACTGTAGTTGAAAACCCGAAAGACTTAATGAGTGGTATGAAATGTTCCAATCCATTAAAAAACCCAGCCCATTTTATTTTGTTTGTTTTGTTATATTGAGAAATATTTACTCAGTTGTACATGTGATATATAAAAATCATAAAATCATGAAGATATTTACCTTTTCTTTTTCAAAAGAATGCCCATATAAAGAAATATCTCATGAAGTTACGAATTTATCATTCAAATTAAATACAAAAAAGAGCAAACATACACATGGTTATATTCGACACTGAAGTGCCAAACAGCTAGTTCACCTGCCCAATACTTATTAGATTCCTCACGGGAGAGTAGAATTGCAGCAGCATTGACTATACACGTATTTCTAGAGGCAACGCTCTAGAAAGGATGGCTCCTGACCAGGAAAGAAGGGCCGTATTTCTAGAGGCAGTGCACGACGTACTTTCTGCAAAACGATTCATATTTTTGTCACATTAGAAGGCATATAATTTCTCTGTTCCACAATCTAGAATTAATAGGCTTCTTACCTGCCTTCATATATTGCACAACACTAAGATTCTGAATAACGCTTGGATAACGCTAAAAACTGGCTTCGATGACTCTGCGCATAATGTATGTCTCACGGCATCCCAAATGTGTTCGATAGAGTTGAGATCTTAATATTTAGGTGTACATGTCAAGATTCCGAACTTAAATGCGTATTCTTGTAACTATTCTAACTATAATTCGGTGTTTCTAGACTTGTGTGGCCGAGCATTGCACTGCTAAAAAAGACAAATCCATCAAAATGAATGCAGAACATGAAGAGATGTAACACATCAGAAAGGATGCGCGCATAGTGCACTTGTCAGAGACCAAGGGTCTCACTATATATCATCTACACATATTCCGTATCATTAAGAAGTCTAAAAAACTTTTACAATATTTTGGTTACAGGTGAAATCTATTAATCTAGTTTCTTCAGGGTACTCTAGTTGGGTATTTTCACTTTATGCTCCTGTAAGGAAAGAAAATTCCCCTAACCTCGCATTGTGGACATTGTCACATTGTGGATACTTCTGGACATTGACTGCTGAGGTCCCAGAACTGAATTACAGTTGTATTTGAGGTAGGTTGTGCAGTTATTCCACGAAACAAAACTTGTCAGCGTGTAGAGTCATTAGGCTTCCTTGAAGCAAGAGACATGAAAAATGAGTAACGCCCTCACCAGGGCTCGAACCTGGACTTCTTGAATACGCGCTGAGTGTGCTACCGTTACACCACGTAGGCATGCTGGAAAGAAGAACAAAGTACCTTATAAGCTGATGATGGTAATAATCATCGGAAGTTGTTTTGCAGTCACGTTTTCTTAAATTCAAAGCTTTGCTTGAGTTCTTGCAATCACGGCACATCTTTGAAATCGTTATGTGCGAAAATTCAAACTTTGCCTCTACTTCCAAAATGTTAGGAACACTTCTCATAGCTCCATCCCTTGAAATGTATTAGAAATCGCCAAAATAACAAAAAATTACCAGCTCTAGGAAAAAAAAAAAAAAAAAAAAAAACCCTCTAAAAGCACCTACATATTTATGTCATGTGACATACTCTGTGGTGAAACACTACCTTCAGTACCGATCCCAAACCGTCGGCCGCTCACATGCAAACTAAAATTGACTGCCCTTTTGTTGCAGAAATATAATACGTTTGATAATCATTTCGCCGCCCTTAAATTTGACCACCCACGTGCTGTGCACCATCTTGCACTCCGCTAGGATCGACTCTTACTACCTTGCGTATGTAGTATTATTATACATTATGCGCAGTCACCCAAGCCAGTTTTTTTAGGCTTCAGTGCACATAACGTTAAACATTTTATAACTTTAGAAATTCAGTTTCTGGTGCAGATGAGAGTAAACAGGTCACAGAGAAATTCTGTACCTAATCCATGGCATTAGAAATATTTTCCGTTAATTATACTAGTGTAAATATTAACAAAATTTGATAATGTCCAGAAGTATCGAAAAATTACAAAGAAGTATCCATTTATAAGCAATGCTGTGCTGTAAGATGAAAGATAAATGAAAGTCATTTTAAGTCGTGAATCGGTAACTGCTAATTCTTTTACCTGTACAAGAATACCTTAACATCTGCAGCAGTTCTATTTGATATTAAATACTGTGAAAGTATTGTCGGAGTTTATACTTAGAGACTTTTAAAGACTAATAAAAAACATTTTCCACCTTTAATTTAGGATGATAAAAGAACCTGATACAATTAAGACAAATATTTTTAATCAGATAAAATGATAAAAGACTATAGCTATAACAGCTGTTTTTTTAATATAGAATGGGATATTTAGAATTTTATAAAAAAATGTTCTATTCTTGAAACTGATCCAGTTGTGCTATAATACTTTCTGGGGGTCCGTTTCTATCATTTATAATTTTAAAAGTTGGGAATGTTTCTTTGCTCATTCAATCAGAAGGAGAAGGAAGTTTTTATAAATTATACTGCAAGTTTTCAATAAAATATTTCTTACCTAGTATTGAAAGTAGAAGAGCCAATAGTGTTAACAATCTCATTTTTACCTGCAAAAATTAATAAATCAATGAAATGAATGTCAATCATGAGAAAAGTAATAGATACACATAATGAGATAAAAAATGCATATATTTATTACATATTGTTAAACAATGCACCAAAACCTCGTTCCTACAGTACGATCGCAGATCGAATCGTCATAAAACAAGCCATATATTGGGATATATTCATGTATCCAACTATGCGTTATTTTTATTTAATAAAACTTTGTTAATATACATAATTTATGGCTGTAATTAATGTATATTTGAATGGTTCTACACTACCGAGTTTAATGATAAGCAACAGAATTGCTTAGTTAACAGAATGTAAAGGCAGAAGACTTATCGCGCAGTCTTACTTCTAAAGTTAAATTAGGTTAATTAACGTAAAAACTGCAAAGTGGCGTAAACAATGAAAAAAAAAAAAAAACGATTTCTTCACTTAAACATTTAGGATTTAGTTTGACGAGTGATTGAATTATTTTGAAGCAAGAAAAGCGAAAAATGAGCCATGTCCTCGTCGGGACTCGAACCTGGACCCCTCGAATACGCGCCGAATGGGCTAACCATTACACTACGAAGGCATGCCGGAAGGAAAGAGAAAATTTCCTTTCAAATCCTTTTAATCCTGAGGACTAGGGGAACCAATCACCAAATCCTTATGGTAAAGAATCATCCTCCCCACCTTTTAGTTCGGGCGACACTGTAGAGTCATTAGGTTATTTTGAAGCAGGAGACGTGAAAAATGAGCAATGCCCTCGCCGAGACTCGAACCTGGACCTCTCGAATACACGTTGAGGGTGTTAACCATTATACCACGAAGGCATGCGGAAAGAAGGGAGAAATACCTTATAAGTTTACATCACTGTGACCAAAGGCTTCTTGACCATGGTACCATGGCTTCTTGACTGTTTCTAACGTTTCACAACATCACAATAAAGAACTCAAGGGGAATGAACTATGAAATTATACTGGGCTCATTTGCATCTGACAGTTGCATGTGCCAAAAGGAGATGAAAGCAGTTCTTTACACCAAATACTAAACGTGACGTGAGGAAGCAAACCTTAACAATTCACTTATATAAAGATTTAATACAATACATCAAAATGTCAACTGTTTAAAAAAGATATGGAAATGCAATAAATTTATTATTGTTGGATTAAAAGGCATGCATAATAATTAACTCCCTGGAGCCCTCGATGACAGTTTCTTCCCTTTCTTCTTATTAAGTATTCTCAACCAACTGGATAGCAGAGATACTTAATATCCACTATTTTTAACTTCTTTAATGACAGCGGGATTATAATCAGATCCATAATTTTAATCACTGTATTTTTAAAGCTATCGAACACAATATACAAATGTCTTTTGTATTTTGTAATATATAAAGTACCATTGTAATTTATGCATATTATTAAAATATTCTCGTTTAAGCATACAATAGCTTTATTTTTCTTGATACAAAGAATAACTTATCTAGGTATCTATCTGTATTCGGATTTAGCAATTAGAGAACGTATTTTGTTCTATACTTAATTTTAGAAATATTTTCTCATGTTAATTATTGATGACAATCAATTTCAATTTTAAAAATGCAACTCAAAGTTTCATGATACAAATTGCATCAGGTTAAGTTTAATCATGAAACATGTAACGTTCATTTTAAACCTTGCTTTCTTTACCTGCATTTTCTTTCATGAAATAAATTATTTTTAATTCAGTTTAACAATATTTATAATGAAAATTTGTTTCAGAAAAATCATGTAGCTTGCGAGAGCGACTATCACACATTTCATTCATTGATAAATTAGCAAAACTTTGTATAGCTCAGCATTTAATGATTAGTCTATACCAGGGTTTATTAAACTTTTTTCAGTCGCGACCCCTTTTTAACACTCAGACTTTTTCGCGACTCCCAGGACCCCATAATATTTACAAAAATTTTGTGGGACCTATAAGTACTGAGCAAATCCGACACACACGTGAGTGAAACTGTCAATTTTTTCACTTCTGCTGTAATATACTATTTTCTTTTTTCTCGATTTAAAAATTAACCTTTCTAAAACCGTCAGTTTTTAAGAAAAGGTGTCTTTAGTTTCATTCTTTGAAATGGGTCTTATTAATTTTGGAAAAGAAAATAAATAATTTAAATCAATGCATCTGAGCTGCTGTGGGCTCTTTCATTAAGATACTGCTAGTAAGATAATTTTACCTCCTAAACCAGGATAGCGGTTACTGGATCTGACTACAACACCGAAGGGCCCTCCCAGGTTCGGATCCCGGAGAAGGCATGGATGTTTGTAAGGTGTATGTGGGGCAGAAGGGGGCATTCAAAATATGTGCTGAGCCGAAAGTCTTCTCGAGAGGTTGTGGTAGAGGAAGAGTGGTGGAAGATCCTGGGATACATCCCCGGGGTGCTCTCCTTCAAACTTTGGGGCGGAACTGAGCAATGTCCTACAGTCACCTGTATGGTGGACAAGGCTGTTGCCAACGACAGGCGCAATCTTGCTTCTTTGCCACAATGAATTTCGTGGTCTTGTTCTGATATCGGAGAAGCGCGATTAGTCACAACAACAGCAAGATAATTTTTTCCACTCGATAAATTTTTAGACTGTCCATTCCTATGAAGGTACTAAAACAGGCGTCATACGCTTTAAAGTTCCTGTTTAAATTTTTTAACGATCATAAACAAGCTTAGCTAGCTTCCAATTACGCACCGTATTCCAGTTACGTTATAGGTATTATTGATGAATGACAGCCGACATGTTGAACATCTGTTATATAGAACATAGTCTTTGCTAAAAATCAATTGTTATGATATTTATTGCTTTTGTTATCATATAAAGCGCCATCTGTTGGCCGATTTAAGCAGTTTTTTTCCTATCAATATAACCCCATAACATTTCAAGTTTTTGCTTCAGTTTTTATCTCTGTACCTACATTATTTAGTGAATTATTGAATTTTGAAATGTTAACAGACTTTTGGGTCACCCTATATTTAGTTCGAGGATTTCCCTTTTCTGCAAAATGGAAAGTATTATATTTGAGGGAAATGTTTGCTCTTTATATTTATCAGATAAGTGCAGAAGTCTCCACGTAGCGTTAATTTACGATGAAATAACACCTTAGCCTCGCTTTGCCATTTTGAACGGCTGATTTTAAATATAAGATTTTATGTTCGATGTCTTAAATTTCAGAGGTGCTAAGAGGCTATCGCTGCTGTTAAGTTTAAAAGTACTTTTGGTGTTAAACTGAAATCTGTACACCAAGACCAGACAGCAATTTTTTTTAATCTTACCATTTTTAAATTTTTAAATAAATTAAAATCATTTTTTTAAAGTTTATTGATCAAGTTTTCAGTCTATAGTCTGAAGTTTTCAAGTTGCATTTCAATTTTCTTTTAATAGTTTTATTTTTCTTCCTCTTAATTAAGATTTTTCATCTTTAAAATTCATGAAAACAGACTTCTTTACCAATCAATGATCAAAATAGTATTGAAAGGGAAGAAAAACAAATTTATGATTAAAACTCCATTAGTTTTAGGCAACTCGTTGAATCTGCATTCGTATTTATAGATAACAGAAAGGAGGCGTGAAAAAAAATTGAATACTTTTTCATAATTTTTTTTTTTTTTCACTTCAAATTTAATAATTAAGTACTTTAACTCGAAATAAAGACCTGTTTAAATATTTATTCTATAACTAATGTTGTAAAACTTCAAAGTGCAGATATTATTTCAAACATTAAATGAATGTAAACATATTTTTGCAAGAGTAACACACCGTCAATAAGGTGGAACACGAGTGATGTCATGAGCTTTTGCGAGGGCTATTAAAACCTGTTGGGACGAAAATCTGCTCGAGAGCTTGTTAGTAGGAGATTCTCTCTCCTCTGCGCTGTCAGTCAAAAACTGAAATGGAGTTTAGGGAGAGTATCTTTCTGCATTTGCCAAGTTAAATAATCTAATCTTACAACTACATTGATAAATATAGCTTTAAAGTTGAGAAGGGTTTTTGAAAATTCGAATTTATTACTTTGATATTTCAATTCGGAGTTTCAATATTAAAAGGTGAAGAGACGCTTTCAGCTGTAACTGAATGACTGAAGACATAGAATACTATTAATTCCTTTCTTCTAGTTAAAAGTCTATTCCTGGCTTCAAAAAGGATTTTTTAAGATTTTACTCATGCATAACGTGAATACGGGATAGCTTTCCCCCGGGAAATTCTTCCCGAAAACATCCAAGCTTAGTATAAGGCTCTAGAGCATTTTAATTAAATATTTAATATGATGACTACAGCTACTTGCATAAAAGGAATTGAACAGCTTTAGAACGGAGAAACTTCTTTAAAATACGTGTGGTTTATTTTATGCTTAGAAATCTGTAATAAGAGTTAATGTTAAGTGATCTTCAATCTTCGCATACAAAATAGTAAAAAGTAAATTCAAATTGAATGCTAAACCTCATCGTAAGTGTTTTAGATTAAAAAGTCAACTGGAATTCAATTATTTTGTTTTGAAACAGAAAAATTCTCGAGCTTAAAAAGCATTCTCTGCCAAAAACTAAAAATCTGCTAGAAAAAGCTGTCGCTAAGCGCGAACTTTTGTAATATTACAAAGTACAAATGGAATTAATCTTCAATTATTCTGGAATCCGAAAACAATTTTTTTATACATGGATAATGATTAAACGGGGAAAAAAGCCTTTCACTTAATATTAAAAATTTTTAACTACCGAAAAATCTGTAACTTGCTCTTAATGAAAAACAAATTTTAAAATGCAGTTTTTCAGAATGCATATATATTTTTTGCGACGATAAATATGAAATTTGGAAGATTCGAATGTCCCATCTTTAATACAAAGTTAATATTCTCAACCTATATTATAAATAATCATGTATTAAAACTTTAGATATTTCCCCTTCGGTAGATTAGAAACTTCGAATTGGTAAAAATGAAATTCTTCTTTTAAAATACTTAAAGTAATAAAAACTGGAGCTATTTAAATTAAATTTTTTAAAAATTTAAACTTCAAAATAAAAACATAATCTTACCTTTGTTTTGTTCAATTAAATCGACTAGAAGTTTATCCAAATAAGATACTGTTATATTCTGTCAGCACGGATGAAAACGGCTGTCCGTGATAACGTCTTTGCAACCGCAGCTACACGTATTGTGTTTCCTTCTTATCCTCTGCAAAAAGTGGTGGACATCTTTCAGGGGTCCTGTTTTAAAATGCTTTGCAGGGTGGAGCGAGACCCGCGTTTTCTCCTCTGTAATTGGTTCCAGCTGGACGAGAACAGCCTTTGAAAACTGGGTTAAGGAGATGGCGAGTGTAAGACCAAAGAGAAGATTCGACAATTCTCCTGGATGCGTTCGCATTCTTCTTGGGGCCAGTTTAGCTTTACCGATGTCCCATAACGATTAAAGAGCTTTTCAGAAATTAATGCAGGAAATGATGTGGTTATCAGCGACTACTAATCGACGAACTTGTATTTGTAATTGTTACAGCGAAGAGAAAGTAAAGAACTTTCATGGGCTATGGATGAAGGGTTTCATGTTTAGGAATTTGTTTTACTCTCATCCAATTGAAATCATTTTTGTAATTGAAAGTGCCCTGTCGCATCATTTTAGTCAGATCGGAAATATTTATTACACAATAATCAGCAAAGTGTTTAAAAAAATAATTAACTTTATTGAAGTTTAATTTGATTTAAAAATAACAATTCTGTCTTGTTATGACGCGCGTCGTGTACCGTCATTCAGGATGCTATGCGGGTGTTGCCTTAATCCACATACAAATGATGTGGCAGACTTGATTTCGCAACGGGATACGAGGCACGTGACCTAGGTCCTCAAATCGTCAAAATTTCAAATTCAGAAAGATATGGTGACCCGTGCCAGTGTTTGCAAATCCTTTTATGTTGAAAATCTGTAAAATTTTACGTATTTCTTTGAGCTCCAGGATTTAATATACCATATAATAAAAACACATGTAATTAAAATATGTAAAGTCTAAATAAAAATATAAAATCAGAAACAGAATTCATCAGCAGAAGCTACGTTTGAAAGAAACCGAATTTTCCATTTCTACTGTTTATTCATATTTTTGACTATTGAATTAGAAATTAATTTAATTTATAAGGTATTTCACCGGCCTTTTTAGCATGCCTTCGCGGTGTAGTGGTCAGCACACTCGGCGCTTGTTCAAGATGTCCGAAGTTTGAGTCCCGACGAGGGCACTGCTCACTTTTAATGACCCCTGCTTACAAAAAAAAAAAAATCCTAATTACTCTACAGTGGCACCCGAACTAAAAAAAAGGTGGTGCATGATGATTCTCCATCACCAAGATTTGGCGATAGGGTCACCTAATCCGCAGTTGCTCTTTAAGAGGGAGAGTTTATAAGTTATTTCCCCCGCTTTCTTAGCATGCCCTCGTGGTGTAATGGTCAGCACAATCGGCGCGTATTCGAAAGGTCCGAGGCTTGGGTACCGGCGAGGGCATTGCACAATTTTCATGTCTCCTGCTTCGAAATAGCCTAATATCACTACAGATTAACTCCACTAATTTGGCCATAGCTCCACAATTTAATCAATAAGAATTTTTCAAGCTCTTAATCCCCTTTTTTGGTTTCTTTCGAGAAAAACAACAGTGTGTAAGTTTATATTTTATGCAACACATACTAAACTGAAACCATGAAAACAAAATCATAGAAAGGCGAAACATACTTATTTGTTGAAATAAATTATTAGTTCAAAGGGGCTTTGTCCCTGAAGGACTATTGTTTTCGTTTTGCGATTTTGCGTCGATTCTCTACAAACGGCGAATCACTTTTAAAACTGTTGCCACAAAGTATTATCTCCCTATATTATATTTAAAGAAATTAAACAATGAAAAATTTTCATAAATGTATGTATATTTCTCGCATTGTGATAAAACAACGGTACCTAGAGCCATCGAATTTTGAATGACGTAATCCTCCTACGAATATGGGCACGTGGAAGACCAAATTGAAATCTGGAATTTGTTTTATTTAACAAACTCAAGAATTTCAAAGTGAGCAATGGGAACTTTGCACAGAAAAACATTTTTTTCATTATTATATCCCCAGGCGGGAGTCTCTGTATCGGAAATTCTAAAGATATGCTCATTTTAAAACTATTTTGCAATATTGCTGTTGAACAGAATTTTATCGTTTATGTGCGAAGAACGTGATATTTAATAAATAAATGTAACACACAAAACGTTAAAAAAACGCCCCTTTGGACGTAATTTAAAATCTGAAACATTACAGATTTTTTTTTTTTTTTTTTTTTTTTTTTTTTTTTTTTTTTTTTTTTTTTTACACTCATGTCCATAAATTAAGGATAATGCAAAATCAGGCAAAGGAAGAGTTAGAAGCAAAACAAATTTGACTTATTTGTAAAGCTTATTTATTAAAGAAAAGGTAAAGAGCAAAAAAAGATGCTATATGTTTGATATTATTAAAAAAATTAGCGATTTTCTCTCCCTGGAGCAAATTTAAAAAAAATATATATATTTACAAAAAACCAATATTACATGGTTGGTATGATTGTTAATACATTGTATGTCTCCCAGACGGAAGAAGATGTGGTGGGTAGATCGAAACTACCATTAAATTTTACAAACTACTATTATCCATGCTAGTGTGGTGGTGTACTTAATTATGGCAAAGCACACTAGGACTATCTGCCTAAGGGGGGATGCCTTCGTGGAGGACTTTCTAAGGAAAACTGTCTCGTATACGCGTTACACATGGGGTAAACCACGAAAACACCCATGCAGCCAGCCCGTTGGCGGGATTCGAACCTCGGACCGAATTACCAGTGTTCAGCGACTTTACCGCTCGGCCGCTGGTCGGCCTATTACCCATGCTGCAGTGACTGTTTCTTGAGCTTGAGTGTCCCTGCTTTTCGATTTGTGCGCAAGTGTTGAGTGCGTATCTAGCCACTAAATCGCAAATACATATAGTACTTCTAATTATTTATGCCCAGCAAGGTTCTTATGAATTATACACAGTTTCCGTAGAAGTTCTTCTGTGGCCTTTGTTTTCCCAAACATTTGTCTAGATGCATATTTCCAATTAAAGAAATATTTAAGATGACACGATTATGGTAATGTCAAATTTTGTAAATAATGTGAAAAATAACTTTTCATACCATTTCCCCGTGCCTATAATCATACTTAGTAATAGTTTATGCTCATCCCCTCATTATAAAAAAGTATTTTGTGAACACCAAATGACTTCCTTGTACGGCCTATTAAATTATGCACATTTTTTACTGCAGTTCATTTAAACTAATTTCCACGAATTATTCTAACTTTATTAACCGATTCTTCGGGGCAAGTAGAAAATGATATCAAAAATTGCAAATTTTGAAATTCAATATCCCGGTTGAATTTTGTCATACAGTCAAACTTCTTGTATCTGTACTTTTTCATAACGAGGATAAAACTTTGTCAAATATAAATATAGGAACCGGGAGACCTCGTTAAAAGTTAAATTTTGTCATAGCGTAAACTCGGAAAGGTAAAATTTCAAATTAAACCTAAGTTAGCCAAAACCTAAGCAGGAATATTTAACGCGCAAGTTGGCTCAAACCTCAGTAATATTGTCCAGATTAAAGCAACGCTGTAGACGGAATGCTATCGTAAAATTTCAACTATTAATGTGGCCTACAGCAGGTGGAACACGCTGTGACTAAACAATCTAAAACCTTCCTTTAAATACTACCTCTTTCTATCTCAATTTAAATATGTGTGAGCTAGAATTTCACTGGCACAAAAACAGAAAGGAATAAGCGACAGTATAGGTTCTGAACATAAAATAACCGTGTAATTTAAATAAATATCTTCCAAAATGAAAACAATAACGAAACATGTCTGTTAATCGGAGAAAGGTAGGCACTAAAAAGAGTTCTTTTCTTAGTTTCTCTAAAATGTGCCAGCGTATTTTCTTTTTCCTCTAGGGCTTAGCATGAGAATTCGAAGTTGACAGACCTGAAATAGTTTTAATTAAGTTAAACTGACAGTTTAAGTTTTGCTTGTTTTGAAATAGCTTTGGAACCACCTCCCTTTTTTTAGCTCAAAAGTCTCAGAACGGCACTTTGCGTCGTTTCACCTTCTGAGTTGGTTCACTTTTCAAACTCTTGCCACCAAATATTAGAGCCCTGTATTACATTTAAAGAAACTAAATAATGAAGAATCTGCATGAATGCATTAATGTTTCTCATAGTGTGAAAAAACAACGGTACCTACAGCCCTCAAAGTTTGAATAACGTAGTCCTCAAACCGAACATGGGAATTTATTTGGAAGCGCGAATTTTGAGTTTTAAATTTGTTTTATTTTCTATTTCATATTTTGTAAAACCTTAACGAATTTTTGGTTAACAAACTCAACGATTTCAAAGCGAGCAATGGCAACACTGTACGGAAGAAAACATTTTTATCTCCAATATGCGAGACTGTGTATCGAAAATTTTAAAGATATCCTGTTTTTAAATATTTTGTGATATTGCTGTTGAGTGGAATTTTATGTAGTTTAAAAAATGTGTGTTGCAAACAAAGAACATGATATTTAATAAATACAAGTAACACAGCGTAAAAAAAAAAAAAAAAAAAAAAAAAAAAAAAAAAAAAAAAATTGGGCATAATATGAAATCTGAAAGCTTTCAGAATTTTTGCCCCCCCCTCCCCGCTTAAAGCATTTGGAAATTTTGTAATTTCATCCCCCCCAAGTTTAAGTTCAGTCTACTTCACTTAATTTAATAATTTCTCTTTAACTAGTTTTACTAAACAATAACGTTCAGTTCTTTTCTGGGTAAAAAATTAAATAAAATGTCATTGAAAAGTTCTTTTCTCTAATAGGTAAAAAATTAAATGAAAAATTATTTTGATATTTCAACCTTGATCATACGATCATAAGTATCCTAAAATTAATAAATTCGCAAAATACTTAACATGCTTTTAGAAAATGAATAGTTTTTCGTCAAGAAAATAAGTCCAGTTTTCTGCTGTATTTAGCTACTTTTCATTTTTCATTAATATACGTCAAAGGTATTATATTTCAAATTCGTTTAATTAATCAGTTTCCTGAAATATTTTGATTTCAATTATTATTACAAATTATAAAAAATATTTAATATTAAATAACAATTATTTAACAATATTGATTTTATATTAAATAACAAAGAT